TCTGTTTCATTTCAGACACCGGCTGATGCGTGTAGTATGAGTACGGGAAGCTTGGTGTTGGGGGTAACTCCCCCTGGAGGCCCGGGAGGATCCAGTGTGCCTTTGGTGCGGTGGCGAGGCCTCCTGCTGCTGGCGGCCCTGGTGCAGACGGCCACCAGCTCAGCCGCAGGGTGCGATGACGCCGAGGGGCCCAACTCGCGCTTCATCGTAGAGCGCTTCGAGGAAGACCGATGGCAGGAGTTCACGCACCTCACGGTCGACAAGAACACGGGCACCGTGTACGCGGGGGGCGTGAACCGGCTCTACCAGCTGGAGCCGAACTTGCGGCTCCTGCAGTACGTGGTGACGGGCCCCGTGAGCGACTCCGTGGAGTGCCCGGCCAGCGGATGCTTTAGCGAGGACTTGCAAAGCATGAAGCCCACCAACAATGTCAACAAGGTGCTGGTGATCGACTACACGCACTCGCGCCTCATCGTGTGCGGCAGCGTGGGGCAAGGCTCGTGCCAGGTGCGCGATCTGCGGGACATCACGCAGCTGACCCGCAATGTGAGTGAGGCCATCGTGGCCAACAACGCCACGGCGTCCACCGTGGCCTTCATCGCTCCGGGGCCACCCAACCCGCCCGTCACGCACGTGCTCTACATCGGCGTGACGTACACGGGCAAATCCGTGTACAGGGACGAGGTGCCGGCCGTCGCCTCGCGCTCGCTCGAGGACAACCGCTTCTTCGACATCGCCGTGACTGACGTGACGACGAGCACGCGGATGCTGGTCAACTCATTGGCGCGGAAGCGATACCCCATCACGTACGTGTACGGCTTTGGCTCAGAGAATTTCAGCTACTTCCTCACGCGGCAGATGGAGGACACGGACGCGGGGTCTCCGTACATGAGCAAGCTGGTGCGAGTCTGCCAGAATGACCCTGCCTACTACTCGTACACGGAGATCCCCATCGAGTGCAAGGACCAGCAGGGCAAGCACTACAACCTGGCGCAGGCGGCCTACGTGGGTAAGCCGGGCGCCGACCTGGCCAAGCAGCTGGGCATCCAGACCAACGACGACGTCCTCTTCGCCGTGTTCTCCCCGTCCGAGTCAAGCGAAAGGGAAGGCTCACCCCGGCCCGCTGACAGCAGCGCACTCTGCGTATACAGCATGAAATCCGTCAGACGCATGTTCATCGACAACATTCAGAAATGTTTTAGAGGCAAAAGCGACCGAGGACTCAACTTCATCTCGCCATCACACCACTGCATCAAGTTGGTAAGTTCTGACATCTAAGTTCCACTTGAACTACCCTTGGCCTGTCTCGCCGAAGACAAGTGGGTTTCATATGATAGTCAGTGGCAGTGTTAGGGATTGTTCAACATTTGAAAAGCATTCGACTTGCACGGCCCTCCCCACACACGCAGGTAATGTTCATAAGCGATGCCTGATATTTGATATTCAATGCCTGTAAACAACACGTGTCTAAACTTAATTACTCCCCTCCAAGAAGGTTGTGTTCGGTAGCATTGGATAGTTTGCTTGTCTATAGGTTAGGCCACAGCATTTCTTTTCTTCTGCTTTAATGGCTGGCCCGCCGACTATTTGTTTCCAGGAAAATATATTTTCTTAAAGTGAAAATCCCGGTTTTTTTCTTCAAATTTACCTTACACGTCATGTCATGTCTACTGTCTATCGTGTCCGTGGTCGGTGATCGCTTCTGATCAGTACTGGTGTATTTCGCAATATTCGCGGAGAACCCGCGCAATAGGATGTAAACACATTATAAAATCAAAACAAAAATGGCCATGGCGAGTGGTGTGCAGGCCGGGTCGCTGTTTCAACGGGAAAGATGATAAAGTGTGACCGTCCTGGAAGGACCCAAGATTGCATGTAGTTTTTCGGACCTTTCCCTACCTGTGCAAAATGGCAAAGTACATATACATGTAATTGTTTGGTGAATATTTTTCCTTTTTATTTCCTAAATAATAAATTTTGTTTGAAAGAATTCTTTGTTTTCATTCAACTCGAAGACTTCTAGTAAGACAGAATTGTACTTCCTCCAGGTGCTGGAACTGATACATTCCTTCTGATTTATTTTTTTTACCCTCCCACCTACATTTCATTTATCACCCGACCTGCTCGCTTTTCAAGAAAAAAATCGTTGTGGCCTCAGGTAGATAACTCAAAAAGTTAACAGATTTTTTAAAATATTACCAGAGGTAAAAATTAACTTTAATTTTTTTTTAATTCTTTAGATGATTGCATTATCATTATTATTACCCTTACTACCTCTGTCAAGGTAACGCTTATGGACGTAACCAGTAGACTTGAGAGTTATTTTAATGTAATTCTTCAAGTGTGAATATTTTTAATGCATCAGTGACCCTGTTACTTTAGCGGCGGCATGCGCTCTCTGAAAGCTTTTAGTTAATATATGTAATAGTAACTTCGAAAAGGCTTCAAGTGTGCCTAGTCATGTTGCAATTACCAAGTATCGTAGTGCTTTATGTCTTTAAAGGGGTTACATGCAAGGAATGTATAACTAGGTATCTCCGCTTCCATTTAGCATACTGAGCCCAAAAATGAGATTGACTTCTTCCCAAGAGTTTGTTGTTGGTAAGGATCTCTCCATTATCATAAATAAAAGAGAGGAATCTTGGTTTTACTTCTGGTGATTAAAACGAAAGCAAGTAAATTTTACAAATAATCGTTTACCTAGCTATATCTGATATCACATGAGGCACTCTCACTGGATTAACATGGTGATGTCATCAGCTCTGCCCCTTTCTTGACACAAAAATTTGCCTGAAATTTCTTTTTTAAGCAAATTTTCTTTGAAAATAGTTCAGTAATAATAATGGCAAAACATTATCATTAAAGAAACCACTAAAGAGAGAGAAATAAAACAAACATTTAACATTTGTAATGAATAAAGGTGATAGGGTGGGACTTGGCTCAGAAATTCCCAACTAGGAATTTCATCAAGGTAGAGTGATTAAATCATGTATAAATACCTTGCTGATACCATTGCCTACCCTTTCATATACGATAAAGGAAAAGTAGCCCTTTTGCCATTTAGGGCTATGAATCCTAATACCTTTCGGCCAGACTCAGCTTCCTCTTAAGCAACACTCTCTCCCTCCCTGTGTCTCTGCCTCCCCTACCTCTCTCTCTCTCTTTCTCTCTCTCTCTCTCTCTCCCTTCCCTCTCTCTCTCTCTTTATTTTCTCTCTCCCCCTCCTTCCTTCCCTCTCCCGCTATCACCCCCTCTTCCTCCTCCCTCTCCCTCTCTTACCATCTTCTCTCTCTTTCTCTCCTTCTACTCCCATATGCCTCCCCTACTCCCCCTCTTCTCTCTCTCTCTTTCCCTTTCTTTCTCTTTCTCTCTCTCTTTCTCTAAACACTATTCATCTTAACCCTTTCCATCCTCACTTCTCTCTTACCCAAGGTACTTAAACATAGGTAGGCCCACTCCATTTTGATGAAAATCCTAGTTGGCAATTTCTGAGCCAAGCCCCATCTCCGTCTTTATTCACTGTATATTATATTTACTCATGGGTTATTTTTCATGGGTATAGCTAATGTCGTCATCATGTTAAGACTATGAGAGTGCACCTTGAGATTTCTGATATTGCTTGATATATGATTATTTGTATAATTTACTCCATAAAGGTATAATTACCAGGAAAAAAATTCCCTCTTTTGTTTGTAATGAAGTGTTCCTTACTATCAACTATTAACAATATCACTTTTGGATTCATCAGGCTAAATCGAAGTGAAGCTACCATGTTTAATGCACCTTACTTTCACCCTTATTTACATAGAGAATGTGATGTTAATGATCATTTTTCCTTTACAGAGGATCAGGAATCTGAATGAGGATTTCTGTGGCATGGATGTGAACACACCCCTGGGCGGAGAGCAGCCTGTGGAGAGTCTGGCCAGCCTCACCTTCCCGACGCGACTCACCGCCGTCGCCGCCACGTCAACCGAGGTCTACACGGTGGTCTTCCTCGGCACGGCCCAGGGCCACCTGAAGAAGGTATGAGCGAGGCGAATACCGTTGCTTTTGTTGCTGACGTTCTTTGGGTTGATTTGGGGTATTATTGGAATAGGTAGCTATTGCGAGACTTCCTTGAGATTGAATGTCTCAAGCATATTGCCACCTTTCCTCCACTGGCCTCATACATGTAAATAACACGATTTCATTTTCTGTATTTTATATGACTTCAGCAAGATGTTACTGACTTTTAATGATTATTCTGATCTTATGGTCCGTCGCCTTCCAGGTTGTGATAGAGAACCAGAATAATGCGCTGGAATATGATGACATCGAGGTGGACCAGGGATCAGCAGTCAGGCAAGACATGCACTTTGACAAGGCGGGCGACCACCTGTACGTCATGACTAGTAACAAGGTAAGTTGGCCACTTGCCAATTGTGCTACTACATGTAGGTATGGTTACTGTACACAATATCGTTTCACACATCCGTCCTTGGCTCAAAGGCTGTAGAGTCTACTTCACCAGATATATAAGCGTGTATGTACATATGTGTGTGTGCGTGTGTGTGTGAATGTGTGTCTGTATATATGTGTGTATGTATATGTATATATATATATATATATATATATATATATATATATATATATATATATATATATATATATATATATGTATGTATGTATATGTATATCATATATGTGTCTGTGTCTATATATATATATATATATATATATATATATATATGTGTGTGTGTGTGTGTGTGTGTGTGTGTGTGTGTGTGTGTGTGTGTGTGTGTGTGTGTTCTTATATACATACATGCATACATACACATACATACATACATATACATGCATATATATATATATATATATATATATATATATATATATATATATATATATAGTTTATCCTTATATATACATACAAATACATAAATATATCATGCTAGTTTCAAAGTCTGGGCATAAAAGAACATCTCACAGCATCAACCTAAGTCTTGGTAGGCCCGTTT